GCTTCTACTCATCGTGGAAAGCAGCAGGCATCCGGCGGGTACAAGCAGATCACATGGCAAGAGGAAGCAAGAGAGAGAGAGGAGGTGCCAGAATCTTTTAAGCAACCAGCTCTCGCAGGAAGTAATAGAGTGAGAACTCACTCATTACTACCCCCACCTAGCAAGAGCCTTAATCCATTCATGAGGGATCCACCTCCATGACTCAAACTGTCACACTGGGGATCAGATTTCCACATGAGTTTTGGGAGGACAATACATCCAAACTCCATCAGCTTACAAACATACTTCTCACTGAGTAGGGCTGTTCTTCACAATCACTTACCCGGGAGAACACCTCACTGCATGGTCCTCAATTATTCTGGTTCTAGCCGAGAGATCAGGCAGAGTCTGAAAAGGTGACATCCTGTACACAGGGAAAGATACTTTAATGGAAGAGGATCATGCAAGAGATGACAAACCTTCCAATGATTTGGGAACCGTCGTTCTAATGAAAGCAGTGAAATCATTTCGAAATGGCTAAAAATATCAATATCGCCTTTTTCTGTGCCCCCAAAAGATTGGTCATTTCTGATTCTTGAAACCCAAATTCATGTTTATGGACACAATTACAAAGCACTAATACAAAATAAAGAAAGTGAAACAAACAAATCTTTGTTGGGGGGTGAGGGAGGAACTACACCAGCAATTCTTAAACATTATAGTGCATCAGGTTCATGTGCAGAGATTGTTAAAACACAGATGACAGGGACCCAACTGGAGAGTTTCTGATTGAGTATGTCAAAAGTGGAGACTCAGAATGTATATTTCTAAAGATTGATGGTGAGGCTGTTCATCTTGGACCACATTTTGAGAACCACCACAGTACATTAAACCGTATAACGGCAAGGACTATACCTCTGTTATTGCCCACTGTACACAGAGCTGACAACATTGATCATGAAACAAAATATGTAACGTGTATCTGCTCCATAATAGGCTACTGAAAGAAAGTGAGCCGAGATGCTGGGTACTGTTCAAGATTTATTAAAGGAAAAGAATATGCTGGGCTATGCTGAAAGTGGTGGGGGGCAGCCTGGGGCTGCCTTCAAAATAGAAGACAGCTGCTAACCTAGGGCGGTGGGAGCTTATATTGGTGTGTTGGTGCCAAGAGCTGGGTGATGTAATTCCGGGGTGGGGATTGAGTTAGGTCATGGGAATGGAAGTTCTGCACATGCGAAATCACTGAAAGTTTCATTTTCTCTGAAACCATGAGGCTTCTTGTAAGAGAGGATGGGGGAGGGGTGGGGAGGAGGTGGGCGCACCATTTTCTACTTGGTCTTGTCTAAAATGGTCTGGTTATGTCGTAGTTCTATTATTCCTGCCTTTTAAGTATAGGG